AGTTCAATCCCCAGTACCAAAATAATAATAATAATAATAATAATAAAATAAAAGAGGTGGGGGGAAAAAAACCCTCAAATACATAAAATAAGAAAAGTGTAAATATCAACAAATACCAGAGAAAAAATACTGGGAAATTTTCCATCTCCAATAGCAATAAAATACCAAAAGTACCAAAAATAAAGTTAAGAAAAACAGAGATAGGAGAGAAGATGGCTGCCTAGGGGTCAACAGCAAGAGTGTCTCCAAATTAGCACTGAAGAAAAGCAGGTACCCAGCCAGAGGTGAGAGCAAAAGATAAAAGTCTGATATGGGAGGACAGATGAAAAGAGAATCGAACTGGACCAAAATCCAGAGTCTAGCAAGTGAGTGAGGGAAAACCAGGCCGTTCCTGGATTCCAACATCCCACACCTGGTGCACATGCCATCTTGGGAGAGGTTCCGACCGAGGGAGGGAGCTGGCCCTTCAGTGATGGCCTGGCTGATGGAATAGACGCGCAACCACTCTAACCTCCCAACTGGGTATGGTGAGTAAAATACATGCAAGCCAGGGATTCAGAGAAGCTGAAAGAAGGAGAATGGGGCAGGACAAAACAAGAAGAAATAACAACTGTAAATATATATCATGAAACAAACACAATCAGAGAGACTGACCTCAATACATTCCTTTCACAAATAGATTAAATAAAAAAAAAAACCAACAAAGACATATCAGAGCTAAACCATACCTTCAACAAATGGATTTAGTAGATTTCTACAGAGTAATCTATCCTACTACACAGAATGCACATTCTTTTCAGCAGCATAGGGAATTTTCCCCAAAATAGACCACCTACTAGTTCATAAAACCTGCAAAACTAAAAAGAATCAAAATTATCCTGTGTATACTATCAGATCATAGTGCACTGAAACTAGAAATCCATCAAAAAAGAAACCACAGAAATTGCACACTTAGACATTAAAAAACACACTCCTGAACACTTGATCAATCATGAAAGAAATCGCTGCTGAAATCCAGATCATTAGGTAATTACTATGAAAAATTATACTACAATAAATTGGAGAATCTTGAAAAATAGATTCCTAGACACATATGAATTACCCAAATTGAACCAAGAAGACAAAAAAAAAAAAAAACCCCTCTGAACAAACCAGTAACAGGTAATAAAACCATGGCAATAATAAAAAAACCTACCAAACAAGAAAACCCCAGAACCCAATGGATTCACCAGAGTTCTACAACAACTTTGGGTGGATATAATGCCAATACTCCTCTAACTCTGTGATGTAATTAAATAGCAAAAGATTACTTCTAAACTCAATCCAGGAAGCTAGAATTACAAAAACCAGAAAAGGGGACCAGGGATTTAACTCAGTGGTTTTGCCGCCTGCTGCACAAGCACAAGGACCCGAATTTGATCCCCAGTACCAAGAAAAGAAAAAAAAAAATCCTCCACAAGACACTAGCAAACAGAATGCAACAAATCATCAAAAAGATCATACACGTAGGGCTGGGGATTTAGCTCAGTGGTTCTGCTGCCTGCCTCGCAAGCGCAAGGTCCCAAGTTCGATCCCCAGTACCAAAAAAAAAAAAAAAGATCATACATATAGCCTGCTGCGCAAGCGCAAGGACCCAAGTTTGATCCCTGGTACTCCCCGCCCCGAAAAAGATCATACAGGGCCAGGGATGTACTTCAGTGCCACCACGCCTGCCTGGCAAGCACAAGGTCCTGAGTTTGATCCCTGGTGCCACAAAAAACCCAAAAAACAAAAAGCCATGTATCATAACCAAGTAAGGTTCATCCCATGGATGCAAGGATGGTTCAATATATGAAAATCAATAAATATATACACCACATAAACAGAAGGACAAAAAATCCCAAATGATCATCTCAACAGATGCCAAAAAAAACCCAATCCAATACCAAAAGACAAAATCTAATACCCATTCATGATAAAAACACTAAAGAAAATAGATATAGGACCTTATTTCAATCTGATAAAAGCCTTTTATGACACACCCACAGCTAACATCGTATTAAAGGCAGAAAAGCTGAAAGCTTTCCCTCTAGCATCAAAAACAAGACAAGATGTTCACTATTCTTGTTCAATGTAGTACTCAAAACATTAGAACAACTGAAAAGGCAAAGTGTGGTAAGGGTTAATCTGAAAATGGAATTAGTAACTCCACAGTCCTGTAGTCTACAATAAATGCTTACTGTAAGCACATATTTTCTTGCTAGTGCTGCCAGGCACATAACTCCCCATGTAACCTATTACTATCACCAAGAGCATAACACAAGAACTCCCCATCTCTGCCCAGGGCTTGAACTCATTCTGGAATGTAACACACTCTATATGATGCCCACTCTTAAGTACATGTCCTCCTTATCTGCTCCTCCTTGGCAGACCCTACCCTGAACTGATTCATACTCCAAATATGTGTCTCCCTTATCTAGCCAACCTTACCCTAAAATTAATTAGTTTGAACTTGCTGTAGACCAATCAGTAATAATGATATTATATGTAACCAATATGTAACCAATCAAATGCTCATTCTGCTTCTGTACTAGTTCCTGCTTGCAAATCCTATATAACCTGTAGACAGACCAAAGATAGTTGCCTGGTTCTCTGAGGAATTATCCCAATCAGGCCCACTGATGTAAATAAAGTTTGCTTTCTGCCTCCAAGTCCTGGGTGCCTGTTGGTATTTCCCATTTGCTGCTACACAATCAGATAAGAGAAAGAAAAGAGATAAACATACAGGAAGTGAAGAAGTCAAATTGTCATTATTTGCAGAGGACATGAACCTTTATATAGAAGAATCAAAAAACTCCATGAAAAGACTCCTAGATTTAATAACAAATTCAGCCATGCAGCAAGATACAAAATACACACACACACACAAATCAATCACATTCCTATATGTGAATAATGAACTCACTGAGAAAGAAATTAGAAAAACAACATCATTCACAATACCATCAAGAAAAATTATATACTTAGGAATTAACCTATACAAAGAAATGAAAAATCTCTACATCAAAAACTACAGACCCGGGGCCAGGGATTCAGCTCAGTGGCACCACCACGCCTGCCTCGCAAGCGCAAGGTGCTGAATTCGATCCCTGGTCCCCCCTCCCCCCCAAAAACTACAGAGCAGGCATAACGGCATAGCACTCAGGGGGCT